ATGAACTCACAAAGCTCGTCATTAGCTACAAAACAATTTTATTACTATAAAATTACAGCTAATATGAACTGTGCTTAATTCAATTTTGGAAACTGAACGTCATTTATGATGAAACATTGAAAACAAAGACGACTCGATCATATTTTACATTTCTACCGATCTGTTGAGGTGTCAAGATAAATTGACTAGTTTATCTTCGAAAAAAAAAACTTTTTAAAATTGAAAGCTATGCATAATGCTACAGAAGCTGTTTGCTTTTGAAGAACTACACACTTTTTATTCTATATTTCTGGCTGTTATTCAGAGAGAAAAGAAGACTTTACAATTCAGCGCAGGTGCAGAAAAAGCCTCAAATTGCGAACGTCTTGAACGAGAGACAAGACTAGAGACTAAAACTTACTACAAACTCGTGGACTACTTCCAAAGAACCAGATATTGCAAAACATTTAACAAAGTTAATATCCAAGGAAAATTCAAGTCTCGGCCACAAGAGACGCAGGCCGCTACCGAAAAGACCAGCTATTACAAAACATTGCGTKAAGATGTAACTGGTAACCATCTGAAGAAAAAAGTCCCTATAACCTCAGTGTTGAAAAATCCTAAAATTGACACCGCCTAAAAAAAGAGACAAAATCTAGAGACTAAAATTTGCTACAAACTCGTCGACTACAAACAGCTATTACAAAAAAACCTAAATAACGATCGTCGGAGGAAATTCAAGTCTGTATAAAATACAAATATGAACAACTCCACATTTGATGAACAACYATCAGAAATGGTCAACTGCCGCGGCTTCCATGTGACGATGATAGTTATCAACGCTTTCAGTGCTGTCTTGGCAATTGTTTTGAACCTCTTGGTCATCGTGACTTTTGTCAAGACGCCATCTTTGCGAACACCTTCGAACATTCTTATTCTTAATCTATCCATCACTGACTTTGGTGTTGGTGCTTTGGTGCAGCCTGTTTACTGCACGTTCCTTTTTACATCCCTTTTTGCAGAGACGACAGTAAACACAGTTTTGCTTGATAACAGTTTCACAATTTTGTTTGCAATTAGTTCAATTTTATTTTGCGCATCACTTCTGACCACAACTGCTATTACCATCGACCGATTCCTTGCCCTCCATTTGAGTTTAAGATATCARGAATTCGTTACAAAGAAGCGCATTTTACTGGCGGTTATAATAATTTGGACATTCAGTGCGTCGCTGGAATGTCTTTTTTTACCTCTTTGGGTTTTTGACAAGAAGAAATTTGTCGTAGTATTTGCGCAATTATTAAATTTTTCATTTCTTTTACTCTTTTTTGTAAATATTGGTCTGATGCTTAAAATATCTTCCGTAATCAATAAACATGCAGCGCAAATTCAAGTTCAACAGCAGGTAATGAGCGCACCTGAGCCTGGTGCAGCAGGAAACATTAAGAGATCTGTGAATATTATGTATTATATAACTGGAGCATTTTTTCTATGCTATTTCCCATTTATTTGTTTAATAATTATTGCACATTTTTCATGGTYGAAMATTGATTTATCGCAGAAAKTTGATTTGGTCCAGTGGGTAGTAYKGGTYTTGGTTAAWWCCATTCTCTTTATGAACAGCAGCATTAATCCGATCATATATTTTTGGAGAATTCTAGACATGCGAAATGCTGCTCTTCAATTGTTGAGATCTATTCGAATGAAAAACAATGTTAACAATAATAATACCAATAACGAAAGCTAGAGCGCATTATAATAGCAAGACAAAAATTAAGTGTAGTTTAATTCATGTAATATCTATCTAATTGACAACATGTTTATGCAGTTTACARTCCAAATACAACTGATATCATCCATGCATATGGTATAGTCTTATTTCAATACTAGAACTGGAATCGTCTAACGATATATGGACATGAAGACATACGATTTTTACCCTTATAAAATACCAACAGCTTCTTTATCATTGATATTGTATTCATTTACATAAGATATAATAAACTCTTAAACTGATTTTTTTTGGGTGCACATCTTCACTTTTTCAACTACAAAATGGGCTTATCACAGATTAGATCTTTACATGAAACGTCAACAAAAGTCGTAGGAAAATTGAAACGTTAACATTCAAATAAAACTTGCTTTAGAGAAATAGAGTTTATTTAAAGAATAAACCTTTGAAATCCTTTGAACGATATCCACAAAATCACTGTTGAAGATCTTGAGAGTTTTGTTGAAGGTTGGGGAAGAATAGAGTTATCCCAGTGAGGTCGGAAATTATTTTTTTTCGAATCGGTTTCCAAGAGTCTTTTACCCTGAGCCAGGGGGAGATTGTCTCTAGGGCCAATCGCTGTACAGGCTTATGTCCTAATATGACGTCACGCCGAAGGAAAAACACGGAGTTTTCYCCTCCCTCCTGCCCTGAGCACTTTATCTTTCTACCATTTCTATTTCGTCTATTTTATAGTGACATTCGATTTTAAATTATAAATACGACGAATATCCCGCCCTTTGTTTTTGAATAGAATAGCTCCTCATGGGCCGAAATGCGTTAGCTAAGTCATGGCATATTGATATTTGACCACAGTCGGGTATCGAGGGATAAAAACGAAATGTGCATGATAATGGATCGATATTTGATGTCAACTCATCTTCCATATATGGCGAATCTCAACCAGAATCGCATAGCTGATCGCCGTCTTTAAAAAGTTCAATATTTCCATAGTCCCCTACCGGTGCAAGAAAATATTTACAGAAAATTCTGGCTACGTTTGGATTCAGGATGGGTTTCTAGTWAGGCTTGATGCAAATGTAGGAGCGAAATGTACGAGTCAGAGATACTCAAAATATTAACTAGTACAAGACATTGTTAACCCGCTCACAATAAATGATTTCTGGTTAGTGCTTCTTGATTAAACTTGTATTTTCAAGCGAACCATAACACATTAGTAGGGTAATCAATAGYTACATATACAGTTAAATGGGAGAATCAAATAGCTCGCTCACCAAACAACTGAGGAGCTTTAACATGAATTTGCATACAAACGCGGCTGATTTAGTCTGCGTTACACCCGGTTTTATTTGCCAAAATAACCGTCTGCGCATTATCGCAGACATTCGTGTGCAGAGTTGATTCACAATCAGATTCACAATCACATTAGCGTTAACAATAGAGGCGATTGCGCATGCTTGACTGGAAAACGGTGAAGGCGAATCTCGTCCGTACCGTAACCGCATCGCAAACGCATCTCACTTATCACTGATTCTGATTTGTTGACAATTTCGATGTTAATTTTGATTGGCCGGGTAGATGTACATATTCTAAGAACACTTCTTGGTCGGATAAGTACGGCATTTAATTTTTTTTTGGTCTATTTCTTCATAAAGTATGTGCTTACCGATAAAATATTTATATGATACGAAACTTCACCAACTTCACCTTCTCACTTCGTGGAAAAGATAAAATATATTTAAATAAAACGTTTAGAGAAACCGTGTTTATTTTTCGAGACACTATAAAACTGTTAAAAGTCCAGCCAGGAGCAGCAAGGGAAATTAAGAGATCTGAAAATATATATTATGTATTATATTATTGGAACATTTTTCACGTGTTATATACCATATATATGCGTTTGGATTGAGATTTTTTCGTTGGGGAAAGTCGTTTCCTTTACAAATGTTGATTCCGTTCGATCGATAATYTTGACATCCACAAAGCAATGCTGAAAATATTGAGAGTTTGAAAGAAATTTATGAGAACGTTTTCAAGAAAACCAGTCAAGTTCTCTTGTTTGATTTTTTCATATAGAGTAGAAAACCAAGTTGCAAGTTGTGTGGCTTTTTCTTCAATATATTATATTTATCGATATTTTTTTGTAGATACAAGGCAGAGCAGTAAATCAATAATTGCGAGGCCGTGTATTTAATGCAACGATACATGTTAAAAAATATATAAATGCAATGATGATTCGCGCATCGATCGCCGCAACAATGCAGGGCTGTTTACATGTACTATTTGAGTTGCGCGTTAGTAATGTGACGATTGTCACGCGACAGCTCCGCTGAAGAAATCATAAGCGCAAACGGGCCTATAAACATCAAGTCCGATGAGGCGATCTCTTTTTTTATTACCTATAACACATGAACTCATCAAGCGCGATATTACTAGAGGTATAAATCAATTATAATGACATTTAACAGTGACAGCAAACATGAGTTAAGSTTTTTGGAAACTCAGGAAAATCWRCTGATGTGAATATARAAGMAACTTTTATTTTAAACTTGAAAGGTGTGAAAACGTAAKATAARTTTGCGTMTTTGAAAAAAACTAACTAAAATACGTACTAAATTTCAGTGTAGAACAACAAGGCTCAAATTCATATCGCAATGCCTAAAACTTGCTACAAAGTTGTCGGTAACTTTCCGGCGTTAGGGGGGATTAACGTTCGACCTTCGGATTTGTACCGATGCTCTAGTAGACGCGACCGATTTGAAGCCTGGTTCCGAGTATGGGCAAATGAAAACTAATTGTGATCATGGATCGATATTTGATGTCACCTCATCTTCCATATTTGACAATTAAAATMTAAAACACAACCGCAGATAATGGCCATTCACCGTGCACCTTTAAAAAGGTCAATTGATATATCCATAGTCCCCTGCCAGTGCGCTTCTCACAGAGAAGATRGATTATTCTCTTTCTCAGGCTGGCAACGTTTGGGATTTATAGGCCTTGAAGCCGTAGATGGAATAGGGTCGTGTGGCCACAATGGCTCACAATGGATGGTTAATTGTTATTTTTCTTGATTGACCTTCTATCTACCAGTTATTCGTTTTTGGAAATGAAAGAATTGTAAAAAAAACTCTATGTTGCTTAATTATGGAATGCTTTTTATTCGGGGGGAAATAAACTAGCCATAACACATCTTCTTTCAAGGGTATCTAGAGTAAAACATGCAGTTAAATACTGAAGAGATTAAGATAACAAGCACACTGAACAGCTGCGAAGCTATGCCACATRAATTTGCATGCAAACGCCATATAATAAAGATCAAAACCCTGACGAGAAGACCTAATTTATCCACCACATATGAGATAATTGAAGATAGCATATTGGCTATAAAATAATTATATTACTATAAAAGTCAGCGAAAATGAGCTGTGCAGTTAATTCACTATTAACTGAACGTCAGTTGATTAGATAGTGAACATAAAAAATGACTTTCTAGACATTTTACACATGGTCTGAAGGCGCAACATAAGTTGAAATTTTTAAAAACACCAGCAGGTGCACTCTTACTCCAAAGTTGTTTCCTAATGAGGAACAAAGAAATTTTCTACATTCCTAGTTTATTGTTCAGATCAAAAAGCAGATTTCACATTTTCAGTGCCGATCAACTCAAGCAAGATCGTCTCCGAACAGTTTGCAAGGAAAGAACACTTAATATAAACTCGGCAACACCTGTCGAAAAGACTCACAAATTGCGTGAAGACTGAACTGGTAACTATCTAAGAAAAATTCAACTCTGCATAAAATACAAAGATGAATAACAACTCCACTGTACAACAATCATCAGAAGTTATCGACGCTCACGTCTTCTTTGTGTCGATGATTGTCATCAATGCCTTCAGTGGCCTCTTGACGACTGTTTTGAACCTTTTGATCATCGTGACTTTTGTCAAGACGCCATCTTTGCGAACACCTTCAAACATTCTTATTCTTAATCTAGCCATCACTGACTTTGGGGTTGGTGCTTTGGTGCAGCCKKYTTACTGTACCATGATTATAATACTCATGATTGGGGAAAGACATTTAGCTTACAGTATTATTAAAATAGTAGTAATAATAATAGACAGCATATTAATTTATGTATCACTTTTCACGATAACTGCAATTACTGTCGACCGATTCCTTGCTCTCCACTTACATCTAAGATACCAAGAGCTTGTGACAATGAAGCGAACTTCCATGGCGTTAATAGTGATTTGGGCGTCGAGTGTGTTGTGGATATGCCTATACCTATATCTTCTCTTCTCTGGAAATATGACATTTAATGCGACAATTACTCGTTTCATTGTTTTCTTATTTCTTTCACTTATTTTAATAAACATCGCTATGATGCTGAAAATATCTTGCGTTGTCCGTCAACATGCAGCGCAAATTCAAGTTCAACAGCAGGCAATGAACGCACAGCCTGGTGCAGCAAGGAACATTAAGAGATCTGTGAATATGATGTATTACATACTTGGAGCATTTTTCCTGTGTTATTTACCATGGATTTGCTTGATCATTACTAAAAACTTTTCGCGGCCGATCACCTCCCCGGAGCACAAAATTGACTTTTTCTTGCTGCTAGCAGGGCACATAGCTTATATAATTCTCTTATTAAAAAGCAGTATAAATCCAATCATATATTTCTGGAGAATACAAGACATGCGAAGTCCTGCTCTTCAACTGCTCCGGTCACTCTGGTCATTTCGAAAAAACAACAATAACGTTAACATTAACAATAATAATGGAAATGCTGAAAACGACATCAATTGAATTTTTCTATGAATTTTGAAGCAACGATTGGAGTGTTTCTTGGTGTTGCAAGGCACCAAACTCACCAATCTTTGATTGTATTTTTCCTCCTRGACAAATTTTCTCTCTGGTGCTGAATATGTTATTATTATTCTATATCACAAAGTACAGGGATTTATTGCTTTCCTTTGCTTCTTTGCATGGTGTACATGATATAATGTATCTCCCTCTACAACAACCACTGGGACAGTGGGTCACTGGGACACTGGGACACTGACCCACTGACGCGGGACACTTGATTGCTTGCATTATGTATATTACATTATCTACTTCTACAGCAACCACTGGGACAGTGGGTCACTGGGACACTGGGACACTGACCCACTGACGCGGGACACTTGATTGCTTGCATTATGTATATTACATGTACCTACTTCTAC